GTTATAATTAACGTCTGCTTGATATGGAATTAAATTACTTGAGAGGTTTTCTGATAGATGTTAAGATGAAACAGGAAACTTTATCCATATGCCAGTTTTTAATTGAGCAGATACTTACAGCTCACCGAATAAATATCTGTGTTTCTTCTTTCTTGAAGGCAGATGGTTGTTTACTGATAATGAGTTCAGCTATGGTTAGAGTGACACAGCTTCTGTACGTTATTAAAATGGTTGTGCTACCGTAATAAAATGTGAGAAAAGACATTCCTGTTAATATCTATAAAGAGCAATAGAATAAGTAAGTTTGGCTATTAAATGCTAAGGATATTTAGGTTTCGATACTGTACAGCTTCTGAATGTGGTGGGGAGATTGAGCTGTTAAGTATGCTTGTATGACATTACAACTAGCTTTAAGAATCACTAACAGCATATCAAATACAATTTACACATATAATACTCTACATATACTCACAAAAGGCATCTCTTTTTTTTGTAAAAGGAGCTAAATTAGAAATTCTTCAAAAAAGGCTTCAAAAAGCCATTGTCCCAGGGCCCATGGTCCTTTGATGCGGCCTTGCTGACAGTATTTCGCCAAGTTAGAAAAGTTGTCCCTTGTGAAATAAACAGCACAAATACAAAACCTGGAACTTAAGTCGGCCTGATTCCGCCGCACAAACCTATAATCTCCAGAGAACTATTTTTTGAGAACAAATGTAAACTTGTGTTCTGTGCTCGACAGCCAAATAGCCTTCAACACAGCTCTGGGACCACAGTGCTCGCCTATTCTCACGGGGCCGGCTGTGTAGCCTACATATACACATCCGGGGACGGCCGTGGAGGGGCTTTTCAGTTTAAATGTGTTCCTGGCATCCATTTCAGCCAGCTAATCAAGTGCTGATTAAGGACTGAGGAGAATGCAATGAGCTTCAATTAACGAGGTGATGGAATAGAAAATCAGCAGTACCACGAGTGCCAAGAACCGGGATTGAGAAGCGTTGCTGTAGAGCGACGCGTTTGGCCAAGAGCACCTCTTGTCCTCAGAGCAGCCACACGCCTTGTGTGGAAAATGCCCATTTCCATCTGGGATTATTTTGAGCTAATATCATCTGAATTCAGATTGCTTCGAGGGGGTATTCATTTGTGCAGCATTAAACAAAGTGGCAGTCGTGGCGTCATTATACATTCAAATTGAACTGTCGGCGGTTTGTATATGTAACCTTAGCAAACTTGGGTCATTTCAGGACACACGCTGCCAAATGACCTATTTGTATCGCTGTGTTTACTGTATATGAGCAAGGAGACGGGGCGAACGCTCGCCGAGAGCGGACAGATTGATGGATGGACTGAGGACTTGTTAACAAGCAACAATATCTTTCAAAAGCAATTAGCATCAAGCTAACAGTGTTTATGTGCTGAATCCCAAAGCACTTGGTGATTAATTACAGGGCCGACAAGGATTCGAGACGCTTGATTTTTCTGTGATGACCGCAGCACTTCCTTTGTTCACTGCAACTCCTCCTAAAGCGATATTTGCAGCACTTACAGGCAAAAGTATCTGTGGCAAATGTGCCCATTTCCATCAGAAACATTTCAGAGAGAGCAGAGCCCCGCAAGCGCAATACCGCCGAGATGTGGAGTGCAAGTTGTTTTGAGGACAGCCTCGAAACATACCAGTGCAAGTGTATTTGATTACAAGGGAACCAGAAAGGGAAGAGAGCGGGGTGGGGGATCCACACAATGAGCAGCGTGGCAGAACCACTGAATGACAGACGAGCTGATGGCTTAAATGAAGAGCTGACAGCTCCAATGAGCGGCCTGGCATTAAATGCTGACAGTAATTAGCGCTAATTAGAATAGGCTGATGGCCAGCTGATGTGGCGTGCATAACTTGTGTTTCCTTCCTTAACACGAGCTTTGCCTGCAAATATATACATTCAGCACATCGCTTACATGACATTGTCTTGTGCATGATGGTGGGACTGATTGTTCATTCATTTAAGCAGCTACTCAGAGCTGTCACATGGCGGGTAATATTGACCGATTGATCTCATCCGGCGACATAACCCGCCCATCTGCACGAATCCTAATGCGCCGCTTCGTCTTCGTGAAAGAAAAAAGCGGCAAGTCTTCGAAACGTCTTGCATTTATTTATCAGCCCTGACAACCCTTACACCTGTGGACCTGGCTCGGTGCACACAACGACGACAACAACCAGAGTGCGGGCCGATTGGTTGAATTTTCAATATGCGACAATGAAAGTAGGAGAAACAGTAGCCTCGTTTTCAGGAATACAGAATTTCAAAAAGGTCACACGCATTAGTCGCAAAGAGAAGAAGAAGAAGAAGAAGAAGAAGAAGAAGAAGAAGAAAGCGGGTGAGAAAACAGAAAGCTAGGCGTTGGATGCAAGAGCGAGATTTTTCCGCCAGTTTGACATTCAGGTACACGTGTTCACGCCTCGGAGCCGCCGGGTGCAACCTTTTCGGCCGGCAGCACCTCTTGAGGGGTCAAGTGTCTCACTGACACTTGACACCTGAACTGACAATCTTTGATTCTGCTTCTCGAACAATACGACTACAGCGATTACAGAGTTCAGACCTGGAATATGCTAAAATGAAAAGTTTAAATGGCAGATTCAGAGATGAGGTAATGGTCAGATATGATAAATGTATCAGCTGATGGGGATGACAATACTTCAGCTGCCAAATCTTTCTCATATAGTCGGTTGTACGGTGATATTCTTTTCTCTACATTACACAATATTTATCAAGTGCATTGTTGAATAAACTGTGGCACTTTTTCTGCATAGTTTTTTTTTCCTTTTTCCAAAAGCCAACACATCTTTGTCTGCAAGCTGGGACTAATTAACAAAAGCAGCCAAGACGTACACATATCTCAGTGTCAGTTTTCCAGAGTTTATAATTATGAGCTGGAGGACATGATTATGCAGGCTCAAGGATTTATTGAAAGGGAGCAAACTGTAAGGCACTTGGTAACTGTAGAAAGTGTGGAAATGGCACATTGAGCTTGATTCGTTGTACCGCTCCTGCTCTCCCTCGTATACTAAAAGGAGGTAAGACAAAAATGCGGTGTGAAAATGTCATGCTTTCGGCTGGCCGAACTTCCAAGTGGAGTCTTATGTGCTGGAGGTGACACATAAAAACAAATAAGATGAGAGATTAAAGAAATAAGCCAGAAGGCAGCGCACACAGCAGGTGGCATAGATGATATAGGCAGGGAACATTTAGCTTTGGGGGAGCATGGATGAGTTTCACCCTAAAATAAGCACGCAGGACCTAAAGTCAGACACCCAAACTGTGTCTCTATTTGTGGCTTGCAGGCTCCTTGGCAGAGCCGGCCTCTTCCTCTTCCTCTCCTCGCCCACAGGAGCTCACGGCAAATCAAATTTATTACAGCCTCTAATTAGAATTACAGTCTCAAAGGGCTTCACAATGAAACAATAAATGAAAATGATAAATGGAAATGGCACCAACAACCTTATACCCTCAGCGAGAACGAAGGGGGAAACCCTTCCACGGCAACTTAATTAGCGACAAGGATGCAAGAAGCCTTGTGGTGGACCACACAGAGAGGAATCCCGTGAAGGAAAGCCATGCAATGGGCGGCCAAAGCGGTGACGGTTAAAGTGCTGTATTTAAGTCAGAGGGGCTCAAAGGGGAGGTTCATCGCGTGTTTGTTGTTGAACGGTTACTGAACTGTGTTAAAGCCATGAGTTTCTCAAAATCAAAGGGTTTTCAAAGTCGCCCTAAGGACTATTATAAATGATGGGGAAACAAACTTAAATTAGCGTCTGTTTGAAAAAAAGGTGAATCCATCCTTTTATTATTTTATTGTCAATCTTGTTAAATGTATTCAAGACTGAAGGCTGCAGTCTTACTAAAGTCACCTAAAGGTTTGAGCATCGACCGAGCTGATCTGATAACGTCAGTCTCAGAGGGCTCGGTTGCAAAACTCGCTCATTTATTATTCATGAATGTTAAAGCTAATTGTCCAACCCACAAACACAGCCCAGTGTTGCCAACTCTTTTCCAGTGTAAGCAGCTATCAGCACTAGCCCCAAACAATGTTAAATCAAATCATGTCATTCTGGAAAAATGAAATGATTGGACGGGCTTTTGAAAATCCTGCGACAGACACAGATGGCAGATTTCCTTTTTTTTTTGTCAGATCATTTTGTTTTATTGTTTGCTATTGGGATGTTAAAAGAAATCCAACAAATATAACAAAATGTGTTAAGAGGAACATAACCGGTGCCATCACTTTGTAAAGTTAAGAGTCAACCACTATTTTACCACTATTTGTCGAACAACTATTCAACTAAATAAAAGAATACATGAAAGCAACATGTGTGGTCCAAAAGTAATCACACTAGGGGCTTTTACTGGAACAGGGGTCTTTTGCATGGTTGGAAAACAAAATTGACTTGTGCAATGAAAAGCATGGAGCTGTGACATTCATTTAAATGTGAGCTGTGAATCTGACTGGCAGGTCACCCGTTTCGGTTTCTGCATATTTCTACCATGTTGTAATATATTTGATCTTGTTACAAAAATCAGGTCAGAGACCGCTTGCTGCTCACACAAACACACCAGTGAGTTGTGCACAGTGCAAGTCTTGTACTATTTGCCGCTGCATGAGCAGGGGTTAGAAGTGACATTAACATGCCTTGCAAAAGGGCACCTTGCGCATATTTTGAGTTGAAGGAGAGAGAGTCTCATTTTTTTGTTTCATTTTTTTCCACCGTGCCCAGATTTTCTTTCCCCCCTTAGCTCCTCTCTGCGATTAGACCACCAACCCAAGGTCACGCAGTGGGAATGATCCGGTCCCACGTCCCTACTGCAGTGACTCAGATGAGATTGCTATATCACTGTCAGCAGCAGCACGCAGGCTTGGCATCTCTGTCAGTCGCGGTTGGACCTTGGGCACCTGCGTCAGTGCTCAAACCGCGCGGAGCCCCGCTGAATAAGTGGGCCCACTCACCGCCGCGTCTCGCCTGGGAGGCAGCTGTGCAATAACGCACGAGGAGGAGGAGGCGGAGGAGGAGGAGGAGGAGGAGGAGGAACGGTGAGGGGGAGGGAGGGAGAGAAAGAGTCCTGCCGAGAGCATCACTGACAAGCCGGTCGGTTAACAGTGAACCCTCCCGCAAACGTCCACCGCATGTCCATGTGGGCATTGATCCGCGTGACAGATCCCCGCCTCTAAAGCAGCCCCTTGGGTTCAAGGCTTGCCCCTCCTGACCGGCGCCAATCTGAGATGGGTAGAAGGAGGGGGGCGGGAAGGTTAGTTTGAAGAAGGGCAGAGCTTTGCGAAGAGGACGCCGATTTCTCTATTATTTCACCGCTGGAGAAGAAGAAGAAAAAAAAAAAGAAAAAAAAAATCCCAAAGCCAGTGGACAATAACAGCTGAGGGAGAAAGAAATCAGTCGGACCAAACGTCAGAAGAACCTCATTAACTCCAAGGAAACCCAGTCTGGAGAGAGAGAGAGAGAGAGAGAGAGAGAGAGAGAGAGAGAGAGAGGGAGAAGAAACAGCAAGGAGAGAACATCCCATATTGCTGCTGGTGAGATTATTATTTATTTTTAATGCTTGTCATTACCTATGGTGTGTTTCGTGTAACGTCATTTATTGGGTTTCGCACGTGTCGCTTGCCCGGAGAATAGCCGGAGAATGATTGGAAATGTGCTCCGCGGCAATGTTTCATTCACATGCAACAACTGCTGTTTGTGTACAGCTACCGCAGTATAATTGATGGTTTAACAGGTCCCCCCCTCGCATGCCGAAGAGGACATGATGCTGATGTGAGGATGCGGCGCTGCATGCTGTATAGTGTTTGCCTGACATGGTGAAGATTCAGTCGGGGATTTAAGTGTTGTTTTGGCAGTGTAAAGCAACACATGTGGGGG